ACCATGCCTGAGCATACTTACGCTCGAAGTAAATTGCCCAGTGTGTGGTCCTCCTGTTTACAGTGAAGATGGCAGCATTGGGAACCTTGGTATCTTTAGTGATGGTGATTCTAGAAACAAAGTTTTGTTAGTAGGACTGGGTATAACCCAATGATGGTGGATAATTGAGATAGGCCAAAAATGACAAATCTGTAACTTACAAATTTACATTTTTTTACAATACTGAATTCGACCTGAGATTTGAGATTCATGATCCATGCAGCATGGTCTTACTTGTAACGTTACTTGGGTCTAAGATGGACATACATGCAAGGATATTTTTAGGAAGAGGAGTATGGAACATTCTTGAACATTGCCTGCACTATATACGTTAGTAGCAAATATACAAAAGTAACGCCCTCCTTTCTCAGCACTGGAACACCAGAGCTGAAGCCGCCTCAGCACTGGAATACCAGTGCTGAGGCGGCTTCAGCTCTGGAATAGAGCCGTTCAGCTCTGGAAACCGAGAGCTGAAAGGAGTTCAGCACTGGAATTCCAGTGCTGAAAAGTCTCAGCACTGGAAGTGGAATTACGAAATTATGTTCCGCACTGGAAACCGAGTGCTGAGCAGAGGCCACCGTCTCTGAGGCATTCGTGAGCTGTGAGTCAGAGGAGAGGGCTGTCCAGGATGAGCGAATCGACGCATCCATAATCCTCTGGCATGAGCTTCGTCCTGTTGTCCACGACCTCATCAGAAAGCTGTCCAAGAGAGGGGTGGCGACAAGGCAAGTCCGACAAGACGACGTGCTTCGGGAGATAGCCGGCCATGTAGACGGCTACGAGTCACCACGAGACCCACATGCTGCTGTGGGCGACCTCATTCTCCTCGAGATTCAGCGTCGCCTCTTCAACACAAACAACAACGACGGCGAGGCCAGCTGAATACTAGAAGTACCCCGTCTCTGGTATCTCTGGTTGATATCACTTATACTGGTGCCTATATATAATCGTAATAATTTTTCACTGCGAAAATGAACGAAAATAATCACAAAGGTGCCGTTTTAGTTTCTTTAGTTTCCAAAACCACATGTAGTGAAACACAACAGCGTAAGGTTTTCAATAACGATTAAAGAGTAAAGTCAGTGGCAGGAATACAAGTGATTCGGCACAGCAAGGAGCGGCACAGATTTCCTACCTCTCAGCACTGGGACATAATTTTCCAGTGCCGGGAAAGACGTCAGCACTGGTTTGAAGAGCGTCCCAGTGCTGAAGGGACGTCAGCACTGGTTTTCCAGAGCTGAAAATGTTCCAGCACTGGTTTTCCAGTGCTGAATTCTTCCCCAGCACTGGTAAATCCAGTGCGGAAGGCGTTACTTTTGTATACGAGCACTCGGTTCCAGTGCTGAAACCGCCGTCAGCACTGGGGACCCAGTGCTGAGCGACCTTTGAACTGGCTCTGCCGCGCGTTCAGCACTGGAGACCGAGTGCTGAAGGGAGTTCAGCACTGGAAACCGAGAGCTGAGACAACGTTCAGCTCTGGAACAGAGCCGTTCAGCTCTGGAAAACCAGTGCTGAAAAATATTCAGCACTGGAATTCCAGTGCTGAGGGAGCTTCAGCTCTGGAAAAGAGCCGTTCAGCTCTGGAAATCCAGTGCTGAACCTTTTTCAGCACTGGAGTTCCAGTGCTGACGAAATTTCGACCGCTGATTCAGCACTGGAACACCAGTGCGGAGGGCGTTACTTTTGTATATTTGCACGTTAGTAGTAGATAGTAGTAGATTCTTTCAGCCAGGTAGGTATCCATCCAGTTTAGGCTGCTCGTTGCTCTACCGGACTGTCATTCCCGGCCTATGCGGGCAATCCAGGGCCATGTGATTGTACATAATTGGATGTCTCTCCATATATTTGTCAATTCTGGTTTAGTTCAAAACCATCTGTGTGAGTGTGTGTGTGTGTATCTGCGTATGTGTGTTGTGTGTGTGTGTGTGTTGTGTGTGTGTGTATGTGTTGTGTGTGTGTGTGTGTGTGTGTGAACGCGTGTAAACGTAGAGAACGCATCGTGAAATGTATCAAGGGAAGCCTGATGCCCCCCTCCCCCTACATATGCACGGGCACTGCAACAAAAAAGCGAACAAAATACAAAATTTCTAACTCAATGACTGTTCCATAAAATGGCACATTTGACAAAATTAACAGTATCATATATCACACTTACTTCTTTTCACCCTCAAAGAGTAGAAATGATTCAAAAGTTGGCGGCGCGTTCATGATGCTACACTGCAACAGCTTTTACGCTACTCTGACGTCATCAAGTAAGGTTCACTCTTTTAATAGGGGTAACATTAAGAATATTATTTTCAAAGATTGCCTAAGCTTAGTTAGTTATGACTAAGGTCTATTAGGTTACGAATTTATCTTTATCTATAAATAAATAATGATAGCATGAAGAACTTGAGACTATATAACGTTACATAATTTCATCTTTACCGCACGAAATTACATCACACCCACAAATGGTAATGGTATGTTCTATATCAAACTAGCAGGCTGCCCTACAAGTCTTTGTTTGAAGGGCAAACACGCCTCGATGTACTCAGTCAGTTTTTGCTGCTTTCCAGAAGCAACAGGAATTTCATCCCAGGGCAAGAAACTGAGGGTACTTCAGAGCTGTTGCCGATTTTACAGACACAACAGTAGCAAGAAGAAGAAGAACCTATGGACAGCCGGTGTGGTGTAAACATAACGGTACGCTAAACGCTACATATAACAGTCGAGGCTCAACAGTCGACACACTTCTTGTTCATAGTAAAACTTTGGCGGACCTTAAAACCACAAAGATGTTTTAACCTGCAGGAGTCCCTACGACACACCTGTAACGGCTGTAGACTTCGATATAACGTTAGGTATCAATTTGTAAACATCAACGGCATTTCGAATTCAGGCTACTAGACTAGAGTACTTTGGGTTAAGTCTAACGTTAGTCTACATAACATGTAACAACGTTAACGTTTATGTCTGCAATGTTAAAGAGTTGTATAAAACACATTGTCCTTCAAGAATAGTATCATTTGGTGAAGGTTAAAACTAATGATCACTAATAACTTGCGTGTGTGTAATTAGTTATTATCTTCATCTTCATCTTTGCCGGGGCTCAAAGATGCATGCCCGTAGCCAGGATTTTGAATGGGGGGGTTCTTCCCACTGCTTGAGGGGACCTCGAGCGCCGTAGGCGTGAGGCGAGCGCCGAAGGCGCGAGGTTCCTAGGGGGGTCCGGGGGCATGCTCCCCCGGAAAATTTTGAAAAATGAACCTTCTAAAATGGCATTTCGTGCGTTTTTGAGAGGATTGTCAAGAAAAAATCAGAAATAAATTTTTATTCAATGAGAAAGGGAGCAGTTTTTCTACGATTCCAGTCCATCTTTTCAAGAAAAAATCTTGGACCTTTACATAAAAGTGGACCAAAAAGTGGACCTTTACATAAAAAGTGGACCAAAAAGTGGACCTTTACATAAAAAGTGGACCAAAAAGTGGACCTTTTA